ATCACCCTGAGCGCAAATAAACCTGTCGAACATGTCAAAGGAGTTCTATGAGGACAAGGACCTCGTTGAGAAGTACCGCGGCGTGTCTGTGGAGGTTCTCAGTGCTTTGTTCCCGGACCAGAAAAAGGACGTGTTTGCAAAGGTTGTTGATTTCGAGAAGACACTTGCTGCAGCATCTCCTAGTCAGGAAGATCGTGAAGATGTGACGGTAAGCTCTACACCTCCGTCATTTCCAGGACACACATTGACGTTTGGCAAGAAATACTACAACCCAATGCTCATCGAGGAAGCTGCCGCAATCGCTCCAGAGATCGAGTTGAAAGCGCTGATCGAAGGTCAAGCGCCTGAGCATACCAAAGTAGGGCGCGTTATTGTCATGACACCGGACTATCTCAAGCAGCTCTCTGTTATCCTCGCTACTACCGAAGACGATGTATTGCAAAGCTACTTCCTATGGAAGGCGATTCAATCACTCTCTACTTACATTGATGCGGATGCTATCAAGCCTTATCGGCGCTTTGTTAATGTGCTCGCTGGCAAGGTTTGTTAATGTAACTGCTTGATTACCAGAATATGACTAAATGGTGTAGGATCCTGATTCCGCCCCTGAAAGATGGCGCACATGCGTTAGTCACGTCGATGGTGGCTTGGGCTGGATCCTCAGTCGATTCTTTGTTGAAAAGGCCTTTTCTGCTGAGGCGAAGGACTTCGGCGACACTATCATTACCGACATCAAGACAGAATTCACCAAGAAGCTCAATGCTGCTGACTGGATGGACGACGATACGACGAAGAAGGCTGTTGAAAAGGTTCATAATATTGTCCAGAAGATTGGTTACCCGACCAAGAGTCCTGACATTATGGATCCTCCCACACTTGAGAACTACTACGAGTCTGTTAATGTATCTTCCGACGCGTTCTTCCGAAACGCTCTTGCTATGCGCCGTTTTGGTATAGATGAAGAGTGGTCAGCTCTGGGCAAGCCTGTTGATCGCGACCAATGGGACATGACCGTGCCGACTGTCAACGCATATTACAACCCCCCCGGCAACGAGATCGTTTTCCCGGCTGGCATTATGCAATTCCCAGTCTTCGACGTTGACGTTCCTGCTTACATGTCGTATGGCGCGTTCGGCTCCGTTGCTGGCCATGAATTGAGCCACGCATTCGATTCCACAGGCCGCCACTACGATCAGAACGGCAACTACACAGACTGGTGGTCGGAGTCAACCATCAAAGCATTCAAGGAGAAGACGGACTGCTTCGTCAGCCAATATGGAAATTTCACTGTCCCAGGGCCAGATGATAAGCCACTCCATGTGAACGGTCGTCTTACGCTTGGCGAGAACATCGCCGACGCAGGAGGACTGTCTGCATCATTCCAAGCCTGGAAGCGTCGCGCTGCTGAGAAGCCCAACAAGGATCTACCTGGACTAGATCATTTTACACAAGATCAACTCTTCTTCGTCAGCTACTCTAACTGGTGGTGTGGGAAGACAAGGAAGGACACAGCTATTAATCGCATTTACACGGACCCCCACGCGCCCAAATGGGCCAGGATATTGGGGACAATGGCAAACAGCCGTGAATTCAGAGAGAGCTTTCAGTGCAAGGTCAAGGAGCCGACGTGCCAGCTATGGTAGATCTTGGAGAAGAGATAAACTGTTCCATATGTGATTGACTCTCAAAGACTGAGTGTGTATCATGGTTGTTAGCATAGTTATCTTGTAATGTGCATGAAATGTAGTTTTCTAAATTGAGACGGGAGAGGTTTTAAAGAAAAAGAATAAATGCGAACTCCTTCGATGTCATCGGTAGCTATCAGGTTGCAATATCATACGCAATTGTGCAAGTTCTTTTTACAGGCCGGCTTCAGTTCCTTCCTGTCGAAGAAATACTTGGCTGTATTTGCAATCACTGCCAGCTTTGTAATTAACTCATCACCACTTTTGTTGTCCTCACTTTCGTACACGATGCTGCTACACCGTGGCCACGATGACTTACTTTAAGGCCAAGAAGAAGTTTCATACAACGACATCACCAACAAGCAATTACATGATCAATCACCAGGTAAAATATACCATTGATCGAATAGTTTTTTTTTTTGGCTCTGGTCCCACGTATCCATTAATACTACACGTCACCCTGCCCCCCCCCCCCCCCCAAACATACATAAAAAGATGATGACAATACCACTTGAGACTAGCTCCCCTCCCTCCTACTCCCTCTCTCCTGTCTCCATCTTCTTCGCTGCCGATCGTCGCTCAGAAGCCCTCTTCCACTCAGCATGGGACACCTCCAACATTTCCTCGTCAGTATCAGACTCGACTGCGCGTATTCCTTTGCGCTTGCCACTGATCGCATTGCGCTGCATATCGCTGGTTCGGGTGACAGGCACTGTGGGTCCCTGTGTACGACGAGGAATTTGTGTGCTTGTAACTTTTGTCGCGTGTGGATTGTCTTGGCTGTCGATGTCGCTGCGGAGATCGATTATGTTGGAGTATTTGGAGTGCTGTAGGTGCTTGTTTGGCTTGGTGGAAGATAGGTCTTGTGCGCGGATTCGCGGGTTGTAGCTTGAGTTAGTGGTGCCGTGTGTGCCGGTAGTGAGAGAATGGGAGTGTGCAGCCCGGCGATTAGCTAGAACAGTGCTCTTTTGCATCACTGTAGTGCTGACTGTCTGGGAAACTTGTGATGCTTTGCTGATAGCAAGTCATAGATTCTTTATCTTGAGTACTAATGGGGCCCGAGGGACTCTGGTGCCTAAAGATGTAGATGACTTGATTGACGTGATTGGCTGACCCTCCCTGTTGAGGATGCCCGCAGCTGTAACGATGCCGGGTGCGACAGGCTGCTTGTTAATCCATTCATGATACTCATAATATGCATCTATATGTTTAACAGCCCGCCCCAGACTCTTCTCAAACAAAGGCCAATGTAGAGCGTGGTCGCCATGGCCAGCGATCAAAACATAATACCAGACCAAAGCGCAGAGCATATCGCCACCACCCTTTGTATCCTCAGGCGTGGGGTCGTACTGCAGGAATCGAAAAGGCAAGACAAAAGCTCCAGCCTTGCGAACCATGTAGCAAGCGGAGCGCGGTTGAAGCTGCTTGAAGCCTGGTGATTCATAACCGAACCGAACATGCGGACTCTCGTCCTTGTTATCAGTGATGACGATGCCATAGACAGGGACTAGCGTGCCGTTGGATTGCGGACGAGATCCAAGCCAGACTTGGATTGCACTCTTGCCCCTCAGGTTCGTACGCTTCATGGAAATATCCATTGGGGACGGGAGCGAGTCGAGAAGATGAAGTAGGTTTCGGGACTTGAGAGTGGCTCTCAGCTTCTTGAGCAGTATTTTACTTCGTGCCGAAAGAGGTTGCGGTTGAAGTGGGGGTATTTCCATTGTAGACGATATTGAGTTGGTTTTGCTGCAGTGTCAACAGACTGTTGTTGGACCGCCTATAGGCTATTGTTAGGACGGAACCAGACCAGGGCTGCAAAAGGTGCCAGTGTTGACTACGGTGGCTTTGTTGTGTAGTCGACTGGAAAAATTCACGTACAACACACTCAATGAAATGGTAGTGAGGCGCACAAAACCGCAGCTTCCCCCGATTGTTTGTATGATGTCGGAAGAGGCATAGCGCACCTTGGGCAGCGGTGAAACCTTTACCACGTGCGTTTGTGTTAGCGTCGCGGGGAGCAACGTAGGAGCTCTGAATATTTGCAAATTTTAGTGAATACTATAGAAAGGATCAAATACCTAGAATTTGATCTATATTTACGTGAGTCTCACGCGCAATACATACTAGCTTGATAAACAGATCATAGCTGGATCCTAATGGGGCTGTAAATACACCTTTGTGGAAACAATGACCAATTTTCACCAACAAACGCAAATTCGGCTGGGTTCCTGTGAAACATTTACTTGTTACTATCACTTGGGGTACATATACACTACAGTAAAAAATTGTTTACTGTAGAATAGTACGCTAGGGGTTTACTATATAGGTGTAAACTAACCTTATGTATACCTATAAATAGGTTTAAAGTAGTAGTTTACTTTTTTATAGTATTAATATAGTGTAGTTTACTATAGACCTATTAGTAGAGTAAATAAAGTAGTTTATAATAGACCTATTAGTAGAGTATATAAAGTAGTTTATAAAAGATAAAAAGATCGCGCAGTGAAGTACTCAGAAGACTACACACCCGCCTTTACGCGCCGCCAAGGCTGGCGCTTTCAACCTATAGGATGGGTAAGCTTCTTATCCATCGCAGATTTTACGTCATATTTCCACTTGAACACGTTATCTGTGTGCAATGTTACGAGACAGCGGCTTCCACCCTGGGGGCTACTTGGCATCAACAATGCGTGTGCACCTACGCGGAGCTCTTTAAAGCATCTCTTAATTCCATGGAAGCATTCAACGAAGAGAGATCTCTTTAACCCAGTACATCCTGAGAAATTTCAACACTTTATATCTACCAAGGTACGCCAGCGCATTCCTCTCGTAGTCTGCATGTTAATCATCAAACTAGCATGTCAACCGGCGTTACCAACGAACCTACCAACTCTTGCCAATGGAAGACGGGCACCCGCACAGATGGAACTACATACCGTTACAAGGAATATGATTGTGGCCAATCGACTTGCAAATACTCGAGAAACTATGTTCCACCGACGAACCAGCAGTAATAGATTATGAGTACGTCAGTATCAGGTAACTTGTAGTGATTATCAGGCTCTGATAATTATTAGGCTCACATCTATAAGTACACATCAGGGCAAATAATGGCTTGGAAGTACCTACTCCTTATTAAAACATGTAGTACTATTTCCTTCCTTTTGGTGGTCCTGAGCGCCTTCAATCTTGAACGGTTGGCATTACATTCTTTTCGTCTGGATTAGCCAGTGCTGAATCCTCAAAACCCCGTCATCGTCAACCTCCTGCTGCGCTGATGTGAAGTCTTCTCTTGTCCAGCCTCTCGTTCCCGCTTTGAGCCCTAATGGCTCCCCAATACGTCGGCACGAATCGAAATCAATGATGACAGGTGCATCTCCATTCATAACAATGTTGGTTGGATTGACATCGCAGTGAACGAAGCCTAGATCATGGAGGTGTTTGATGCCGTCCTTGATGCCTTTGATACAGCCATCGATGTCACAAGCGTGTCCCTCCTTCACCCACTGGAACAGATTCACCCCATACTTTACGAAACAAAGGCCCGTTATTCTACCATCTATCACTCTGCATCCGAGGTACTGAGCGATATTAGGATGGGGGTGCGTCCTCAGGGCCTCGCACACTTCAGCCTCGTCTAAAAGAAGCCTAGCCATATCGGTTGAAGCTTTTGTGTCGCCGTAGTGTATCAAACTCGGTTCTTTGATGTGGCAACTTCGAAGCGACGCTTCGGGAGCGTGTGTAAAGTTGTGTGGGAATGGTGGCCAAATCTGCCAAGTTGGAATTGATTCAAGCGGAAGCTCAGCTAGATCGATATCGGCGGCGGAGTCATAACGCCGGTGGGTGGTGGCGTAGTAGTACTGACCATCCTTCCTGAGTATGACCTTGGTATGGGAGAACGTGAGCTCTCCATCTTTCTCGACATATGCCTCATTTTGTTCGCACACTTCCATGCTCTGGTACAGTTAGTATTGAACTTGTGACGATGATATGCTGCCATACGATTGAGTCAAGTTCAGTGAAGGGTTTGATGTTCAAAGCATTGACGAGCCGGTGAACAGAAGTTGCAGTATTGCATTAGTTTCAACTTTTGTTGTTCGTTGGCTTTTCAGCTGGTCCGTGCTCTGTCAAGGGACCTCTTATGGCTAGCTGTGTATGGGCTGCGTTAAGTTAATCGAGCGGCGCTTGCATACGCCTAATAAAGGCCTAACTTACTAATATATATATAGAGCAGCTCGCCTATATTAGGATAGGTATGTTCTTCTTGTCCTTTTATACAAGACCTATAGGTGTAGGAATCTTATCCTTTTCTATATAGACGCGCACTCCTATATACCTTTAAGTTATATAGGATACCTTTTAGATACCCTACCTACCTGTATTATTATATTATAAGAAGAACATTATCCTAGCTAGTAATAGTATCACTACGGTAAAAAATTGTTTACTATAGAATGGTACGCTAGGGGTGTAACGACTTAGGTAGGTAGGGCATCCAAAAGGTATCCTATACGACTTAAAGGCATATGGGAGTGCGCGTCTATATAGAAAAGGATAAGATTCCTACACCTATAGGTCTTGTATAAAAGGATAAGAAGAATATACCTATCCTAACTATAGGTAAGCTATTCTCTATATATATTAGTAAGTTAGGCCTTTATTAGGCCTAACTTAGTATAGAATAATAGGCAGGTAATTCTACCTTATTATTATACTACCCCCTCCTATAAAGAAAGGATAGTCCCTATCCTTAGGATTAGGTTTAGATCCTTTATTAAAGAAAAGCTCTTATAAAATAAATCTACCTTTACCTCTACCTTTACCTTTACTTCTTATTCCTAGGGTATAGACTCCTATCCTTAGCCTACCTATAACTAGCTCTCTACCTACTAACTTTCTTATTCCTATATCCCTAATTTTTTAATTATTTAACCTAATCTATCTAAAATCTAGTAAGTATTTAATCTATATAATTAATAAGTTACTAATCTAAATTAGAACCTTTAGCTATGCTAGTACTAGTACTACTAGGAGTCCTTCCTATTACTTATCACGCTCTCTATATAAGGGCAGTTAGGGCTCTAGCTAGAGGCAAGTTTAATAATTTTAATTTTAAGTTAAAGAATTCTAAGAAGTGCTAGTACTATATCTCCTAGAATAAGTATTGTAATCTAGTAAGTATCTAAGTCTAATAGGGTTCCTTTACTAATTCTAGTAGATTCCTTCTTTTATTAGCCTAGAGTACTCTACCCTTAGGGGTGCTTTAGATAAGTACTATAGCCTAGTAGCAAACCCTGCTAAAGGGGATAAGGATAAGGATACTATAGTTACTGTTGCAGGAGGGATATCAACCGGATCACGGAGCATCTTGATCCAATTAATCCTAATTAATACCCCTGTATGACCCACTATCTAATCAACTGCTAGCTTACTACTAAGTGCCTAATAAAAAAGCAGGAGCTCTAGTAAGGAAGGTTTACTAATTATTTACCTTCTAGTAAGGGTAGCTAAAGCTCTATATATATAAGTCTGATTGTAGTAGATATAATCTAATAATCTATCTCCTAAATTATTCCTAACCTTAGTAATCTAGATTTCTATAGTTATAAGCCTAGTTCGCGCTTTATCTTATTAAAGATTGTCCTATCTATTTAAGCGTATTATTTAACTTAGACACTAAGCTAGCAAGCTTTTTTTTTATACTATTTCTTAAGTAGAAGCTTACTTATTACTCTTCTACTATAAGCAACTAAATCCTAAAGGGGGATATCCTACTTACTAGATTAACTAACTAGCCTACCTAGTATATTTAATTTAGATACTATACCCTAACTAAAGGGATCTAGGTAGAGGTAGACCCTAATACTTAGGATACTAAAAACTACTTTAAGAATAAACCTATTAAGCCTAACATACTAATAGGTATTACGCTATCTAATATAATAAGCAAGCAGTACAAACTCTAAATAGCTTAGTACTAAGCCTACTTATTAGATTAGGTATTAAAGTTATTAGTAATCTAGAACCTCTTTATATAGGTTAATAATATAGTAGATTAAGGGATCCTTACCCTAGCCTATATAGAGCTTGTTAATTAAGGAAGAGTAACCCTCTAAGTACTAATCTAAGTGCTCCGCAACAACCTAGCGCTAATAGACTTAAGTGCTACAACACTGGCGAGATCGCAGTACAAAGCTTATCTTGCTAAGGTAAAGATAAGTAGCTAAGACGCTAATTACTAGTAGAAGGAGTAGACAATCCTATATACGTAAGCTAAGGTATACAACATTCCTAATATTAAAGGATAGCTTATAGTATAGGATTATCTTAAAGCTCTATCTACTAGGATCTTACTAGATTAGGGTTAAACTATGTTTTAAAGGATTATTAAAAAGTTAGTAATAGGAGAGCTAACTTATAACCTCCTATAGGTTGCTAAGATCTATTTATTACTTCTCTAAGAGAATAATATAAGATTAAGCTCTAAGGGTCCTAGAGTGTTTGCAACAATAGGAGCTCCACCTTCTAATTAACCTAAGAAGGAGTCTTTATACCTATATAGTAGATCCTACCTATAGAAACCTCCTAAATACAAAAATATTATTAAAGCTTAGACTAATATAGGTAACAAGCTTACTACTACTTAATAATTAGAGATTAAGAAAAAGATTAATAGGAATTAAAAATTTAAAGAGATAAGAAAAGCTCTAATTAAGTCCTATCCTATTAATCAAGATTATAGTAGTAAGGCAAGCGCGATCACCTATCTAGGTAGTATCTAGGCGGCACTAATTAACCCTATATTAATAGCGGAGAAAACAAACAGGATCTATTTAACTATAGACTTTAAAGCTTACGCTCTATTAAAGAGCACTATCTTTAATAATAGGGGTGTAGTACACCTAGTTAATAATATAAGCTACCTAGAAGAAAGCTTATTTAGATTAGTTAGATATAAGATAGTTAAAGCAGGAACTTAAGCTTTTCTAATCTTAGGTAGAGGGACTAGAGTAATCCCTAATACTCTTAATAGACTAAGAGGTCTAAAAATAGAAGATTTAGTGCTTACTAACATAGTGTTAGTAGAAGGTTTTTATATAAATATTATATTAGAAGCTTAATTACTTAAAGCAGGAGTTTAGTTCCTTAGGCTAGATACTACCTTGTAGTTTAGATTATTAGAAAAGAGCGTTATATTAGCTAAGTTACTACGTAAGTTTAACTTAACTTTCCTAGAATATAAGCCTTCTACTCCTTATCTAATAATCTAAAGCATAGTGCCTAAATAACCCTAATAATCCTAGACAACTTACCTAAGATATAATAGTAAGGAGCTTTAGCACTAATAATTAGGCTATTTAGGACCTAAGGCGCTTAAAGCTCTAGTTAAGTTAGTAATAAATATTAGGATTAAAGGAACTCCTAGGAGCAAATGTAAGCACTATACTATTACACATGCCTAACAGGTTATATTAAGATAACTAAGGGAAAGATTACTACGTCTATACTACTAGGTATTATAAGATCTATTTAACATGCTCACAGGTATAGCTTATAAGCAATAGATCTTAGTATTAAAGTGCGACTACTTAGGAAAGCTTTATACCTATCTACTACAAGCTAAAAACCTTAATAAAAATATATAGGTGTTTAAAAATTTTAAGAGTTTAATACTTAACTAATATAAGCTTAGTATAGTTAAGATTATACAAGATAATAATGTTGTAACGCTCCTATAGCGTGGTGAATCTTGCTTTTAGATCTAGGTAGCTAATAATAGTATTAAGATTAAGAGCTTACCTATATATACCTATAAACCTAATAGAGGAGTAGAAAGAGTAGGGTAGGAGATTATAATAAAATTAATTAAAATAAGGATTAGTGCTAACCTACTAATAAAGCTCTAGCCTAAAATTATTAAAGTAGTAATTTAGCTTTATAATATAAGCCTGTCCTATACTTATAATATAATATTACCTAATAAAGTGCTAGATTATTAGTTTACTAGATACTTTAGGTAGTAGTAACTAGAGTAGATAAGGGAGGCAACTACTAATCTCTGCCCTAATTAGAGCAGAATATACGCCTATAGCTGTTAAGCTTACCCCCTTAATAGAGATTAAGTATCTAGGCGTTACAAGAGGGTTTTTAAGGTAAATCCTTAGGGTTATATTAGATATCTAGTAGGATATAGAGTATCTAATATATATAGGATATAGATCCCCTTGCTTAATTAGATTATTATAACGTAGAACGTTACCTTTAATAAGGATCTTTTCTATAAAGAGAAAGATCTAGAGTAGCTTTAATAGTTAGAGGCTTAAAAGATAGTTAATATTATTAGCAAAGATAAGATCTATAATATAGGAGAAGCATATAAAGAGCTTAATATCTTTAATTAGCTTTATATTATAGTAGAGTAATATAAGAAGTCTAGTAAGCAAGGAGGACTAAACCTAGCGTAGGAGCTAGGGGGTAGGGTAGAGCTAGAGGAGGTAGATAATTAGGCTAGCTAGCCTAGTAATTTATAACCCCCTAAGCAGACATCTCTAGCATAGGTACTAAGTATAGCTAGCTTGGCATAAAGGATCTATATAAAGTCCCCTAAGCTAATAGGGCTCTAAACTCCTAAACTAATACTAGAACTAAACTTTAGTATACACTACGGTAAAAAATTGTTTACTATAGAATGGTACGCTAGGGGTTTACTATATAGGTGTAAACTGACCTCGTGTATACCCGTAAATAGGTTTAAAGTGGTGGTTTACTTTATTATAGGTGGTTTAAATTAAGTATAAAAAGTAGTTTTATATCTATTATACGCTATAATACCTAACTAAGACTAAAAGGGGTAGAAAAGATTAGCTTCACGCTATACGCACATATGACATAATAATGAGTCATGATATTTTTACTAATAGGAGGTGGTGATAATAGAGGTGGTGATAGAGGT